CGCTCAGGTATGTGCTTTGTAACTTACAGCACATGAACCTAAAAACGTTAGGTAATCAAACAAAAATGACGTTGTACTAAAGTCCAAAAAGTACGTTCAAGGTCTTCATTTTTTTCGTAGCATAAAAACGATTTACTCCCTCACTTATTGTGACACCCTCAAATCAACTGATTTCCATTCTCCTCAAGAGTCAAAATGGTATGTGCCTCCATTTTACGCTACGACTGGAAAAAGTCTTTTTTGCTTGACGTGTTCATTTGCCTTCAATTACGTTTCAGTGGCTGTCACTGTCGCATTCTGAGTCTTGCCTATAACATTTTGGTTCAAATCCACGTAGCTATTGCCGAAAATTCAAGAAATCTTTCATTTCTTCGTCAACTAACATGCTGGAAATCAAATTAGCATAACAATGCATTCGAAGGTTGTTGCCATTTTATTCGACAGCTCTCCACCAAGTGCCACACCACATACAACTAAAACATTTAAACCTTTGTTGGGCAATTCACGTGTAAATTGCGTTTTTAAGTCGCGTACCATTAATTGCGTTTTACAGTCCCTCAAGTTTGTTCCAAAGACTGCAGTCGCACCAGAGATAACCAGAACATTGATTCGTTTCAAAAACGTTCGTCGTTAAATTCACGTTTAAAAACGTTTTTGACTTTTGGAATTGATGATAAGCAAACAATCATGGTAGATTGGCCCCGACTTTCTGTCGATCGGAAACAGATAAGACTCGATTTTCATAGACGCAGGTCATTTAGATCGGACAGTTACTTTTGTTTCAGGTTCGTTGTTGTTTTGGGTGAATATAGAACATGTTCAAGCCCAAAATTGTAGCAATAATGTTCACGTCGCTGTACGTTAAAACACACTCTCGAACTTGACAACATTCACTTACGGACCACTAAGATTGATGATTCGTTTGCTGACCGGGATAGCTGCATTTAGTGTTCATTTCTATGCAATATAAAATCATATGGATGCTGTGGGTGGCGAAGGCTGACAGATTGTTTTAGTTCTGTGGCCGGCTCTCATGGCACGGGCAACTGACATTAGCTGACTTTTTTTTATTATTCTGACGTGTTCTGGGCTGTATATAACAGTTAGACACTGACAAGTAAGTAGGTTGGTACTAGTAAACAGCCCGGGACATAGTCAATATAGGAGTCTGAATCAGTTAGGCCCTGAAAATAGCATCATCGCACAGTATTCCATTAATGAACGAAGTTCACTTAACAATCTTATGCCTACAAATCATCCCATAATTATTGACAAGTTGTTACTAGCTTATACTAAAACAAGCCCGTAGGCATGTTTACGGATGTTGCCACGGTAGGCACCGGGCATCGTATACGAAGTTCGCCAAAAAAACACTCGGTCTTTAGAAGTCACTTTATTTTATTGCTAGGACGTATTCTGTTGTTAAATTTATTATTTCCAACCATTTTGCGATAGTATTTTCTAGATTGAAGGCAGCATTTAAAGTTTAAAGTTGCATTGGGATTACGTTGATACCGTGTAACAATGTCGGCGCCCGGTGATTTCTTACCGATGTGAAGGCAACGTAGCCAAAATAAAAAGCATGATCATTTAAACACTGCTGACACAAGACTAGTAAGAGGTAATAAATTTGGGGCGAAAGTATTCCAATTAGTGGCGGAACGACCTGCCTGTCAAGTATGAACAAAATCAGCCAAGCCAAAAAAATCACAGAGGAGTTAAAAGTCGTTGCTGATGAAAAGTTACCTTCACCTTGAGGGAATTTTTTTCGGTAATGAAAATAGACATAAGAAAAACAAACATTATTTTTTTCCCTACACCCAAGCTGAGTACAATGAGCTATGTCCATGCTTTTTAATCGTAGAAATGTAGGGTGAGATACATTTGGCGCGAATGTATTAAAAAAAATCATTTTTTTTGGCTGTTGCCATAGAAACAGTGGACCAGAATTTGTGTTCAGATTTTACAACCTAGCTACAGTGAAGGTGTGATTTGCCTGCCAAGTTTGAACCAAATCGGCTCAGCCAAAAAAATCACTATACTGTACTGCAAAAATTAAAATTGAAGAAATTTAAAACAAATACTGCAGATATTTACGGGTACTAGTACACATTAATTTTGCATTTTACCCCCGGGTAATGGTATAAACTTTTTCTAAATATATGTTTATCCTGACAGACCCAGTAAATCATCGTCATACCAGGTCCATCATGTCTGACAAAGAATACCAATCGCATTTGCATAACAAAGCTATTCTCATACATTCGCTTGGCAACGCTGCGTTTGATAGTTCCTACGAATACTTTATATCTTATATGAACAACACTGGAAGTCCTTCATTACTCAGGAGAAGTGGTGTACTCTCTGTCTCTCGTTATAGTCATGAACAGGTATGTTCTGTGATTACATAGAGAGCATGTGCTTAGAAATTTCATGCAAACTGTGTAAATATCTGTATTGCACTCTTTCTAAAAATTCAACCATCTAATTATTTGGCAGGTTTAGTGATTGCTTTTAAAATTTCTCTAAAATTTTGTTCGTCTTCTTGGATCTATGGTTAGACAATAATTTAGTAGTGCATCTACTTACACGAATTACGGAGGTGTTTCGATGATCAAAAAAGCCATATTTTAATAGTTCAATACACATGAAATGTTACAGTAATTTTTGGCTTATATGCAATTTTATTGGAGATTTCAAATACAGGAGACTTAAAATTAAAGAGAAGTAATATTGTTGGTGAACGGTATCGTCCTAATGCTTTACAAATGATCATCGATTGGAGGAATTGGAACATTATTTGAGGGGTAGGAATAAGTCTTGTGGCGTTCACACCACCGTAAGCCATTTGCGAATAAGGTCCATTTATTTGTCACTTTTACTCTGTAATGTGCTCTGTTCTTCTTTCCTTCAGGCAGCGAACACATTGCTAGACATGGCTATGAATGATCACGAGGAACATGTACGGTATGCGGCTACAATAGAGTATCAAAGACATCCACATGCACTTGACTTTGATGAACTCATACAGGAATATGTAGCAGTGTGAGTTATTCTCTTTTATCCTAACCAAAATATGGTCAATAACACCCAATAAAATAGTTTTGCTTATCTCCATCACATGTATATGTTTGAAACCTATGCTTCTCGCGCATATTTCAGGGGCAGTTTCATGTAACGGTAATGTGCACAATATATAATAGAATAGAAAATGTGTGTTTTTTTGATTCCGTGGATATTTTATCAACCCAAATCAACCTTTAATGTATTCAAAAAACAATCTTTAATAAATATTACTGTGAACGAAAAAGCAACCAACCAGCAGTATAATGTTACAATATAGTTCACTGTTTGTTAACAAAGTAGCAATATTGATATCATCTTACCATGACAAATTGTTACATTAGAACTGTATTTTGTTTGCAAAACAGTGAACTATAATAGTACTGCTAGTGGGGATGCATTTTCATTTTAGGTAACAGTTGAAAACTTTTATTTTTTGTTGTGATATTGAATTCCCATTAAACAAGAAGCAAAAAATTTGAAGTGAAATGAAATATCAGGGTAGCTAGAGTATGCACAATTGCAAATTTTTTTCAAGATAATGAAAACTATGTGTACATGATTGTTGACAGTCATACAAATCGAACTGACATAGCAGATACTGATGGAGAATCAAACCGCCCACTGTACAGAAGTAGACGTTCTATTTTGGATGGTTTTCAGTTTGAGCTCAAGTTGCCTTTTGTTGATTGGGGCAAGACAATTGGTAGTAAGGCGATTGGCGCTTCCATTGGATTTCTCATGAGGAACTTTCTCAATCTGGATATCAGTAAGTCGATCACCTAACTGTTAATATTTTTTTTGCATTTGTGGCCACCAAAGTTGAAATGTATCACAATAGTACCCGGGGGTCCGACTTAAAGAATGATCTGGTACGCATGTCTGTGAAAGAAAACACGTTTAAAGGGTGTGATTTTTTAACGTGTTAACGTGTATTACGCATTTAGGGTTACCATTTCAGTCAAAATAGGGTGTCTTTTCCAGTACAGCCAGCGTCATAAGGGTGGTTATTTTTTAAATGAGATTATCTTTTTTTTATTGCTTTAAGGAATTCAATGATCGCAAAAACGAGGAAAACGTCTGGCCCCCTGGTTAACGACCCTCGATCACGGCATATGACCAACCCGTGCTTACACTAAGGGTTAGAAAGCTCAAATATCGCGAGATCAGGCATTAGTTCAAAGTGCGTGATCTTTTAGCTTTCTAATAGTGAAAAGGGTACAAAATTTTGACCTTTTAAAACGTGTTTCGGGTCATTTTGAAAACCTCTTTCACAGACATGGGTTCCAGGTATTTCCACAAGTCGGACCCCCGGGCAATAGTATTACTAATAAGTTACAATTTAAGTTACGATCTCAATTTGAGCTCAGAGAAGAACATTTGGTACAAGTTAGCGGTATTGAAATTTTCACTACAAGCTACAATTTAAGCTGTTGTTGCACTAGACCCTTAAAGAAAGGGTTGAGGCACTCCAAAGGCACTGTACTCTGGGTAGTGGACCACAATGGGAAGACCAAATGCACTGTACTCTGGGTAGTGCGCCACAATGGGGAGACTAAAGGCACTGTACTCTGGGTAGTGGACCACAATGGGGAGACCAAAACCACTGTACTTTGGGTAGTGGACCACAATGGGGAGACCAAAACCACTGAACGCTGGGGTAGTGGACCACAATGGGGAGACCAAATAAGCCACTGTACTTTGGGTAGTGGACCACAGTGGGGAGACTAAAGCCACTGTACTTTGGGTAGTGGACCACAATGGGGAGACCAAATAAGCCACTGTACTTTGGGTAGTGGACCACAGTGGGGAGACTAAAGCCACTGTACTTTGGATAGTGGACCACAATGGGGAGACCAAATAAGCCACTGTACTTTGGGTAGTGGACCACAATGGGGAGACTAAAGGCACTGTACTCTGGGTAGTGGACCACAATGGGGAGACCAAAACCACTGTACTTTGGGTAGTGGACCACAATGGGGAGACTAAAGCCACTGTACTTTGGGTAGTGAACCACAATGGGGAGACTAAAGCCACTGTACTTGGGTAGTGGACCACAATGGGGAGACTAAAGCCACTGTACTTTGGGTAGTGGACCACAATGGGGAGACCAAATAAGCCACTGTACTTTGGGTAGTGGACCACAATGGGGAGACCAAAACCACTGTACTTTGGGTAGTGGACCACAATGGGGAGACTAAAGCCACTGTACTTTGGGTAGTGAACCACAATGGGGAGACTAAAGCCACTGTACTTTGGGTAGTGGACCACAATGGGGAGACCAAATAAGCCACTGTACTTTGGGTAGTGGACCACAGTGGGGAGACTAAAGCCACTGTACTTTGGGTAGTGGACCACAATGGGGAGACTAAAGCCACTGTACTTTGGGTAGTGGACCACAGTGGGGAGACCAAAGGCACTGTACTCTGGGTGGTGGACCACAATGGGGAGACTAAAGCCACTGTACTTTGGGTAGTGGACCACAATGGGGAGACCAAATAAGCCACTGTACTTTGGGTAGTGGACCACAGTGGGGAGACTAAAGCCACTGTACTTTGGGTAGTGGACCACAATGGGGAGACTAAAGCCACTGTACTTTGGGTAGTGGACCACAATGGGGAGACCAAATAAGCCACTGTACTTTGGGTAGTGGACCACAGTGGGGAGACCAAATAAGCCACTGTACTTTGGGTAGTGGACCACAGTGGGGAGACTAAAGCCACTGTACTTTGGGTAGTGGACCACAATGGGGAGACCAAAACCACTGTACTTTGGGTAGTGGACCACAATGGGGAGACTAAAGCCACTATACTTTGAGTAGTGGACCACAATGGGGAGACCAAATAAACCACTGTACTTTGGGTAGTGGACCACAATGGGGAGACTAAAGCCACTGTACTCTGGGTAGTGGACCACAATGGGGAGACCAAATAGGCCACTGTACTTTGGGTAGTGGACCACAATGGGGAGACCAAATAAGCCACTGTACTTTGGGTAGTGGACCACAATGGGGAGACTAAAG